CTTTTTGTTAATTTTCATCAGCAAATCAGAACAAAGTTTTTACTAAAGTTTTTTGATCTGATAAAAAGCTGATAAAAAGATTCTCTATGTTTATCAATATAATTAACAATATAAGGTGCAGCAATCTCTATAATTGCTTGATAAATAAATAAATAAATAAATAAATAAATAAATAAATAAATAAATAAATAAATAAATAAATAAATAACACCATTGTTATAATTGTTATAAAAGCTAAGTTTTATTTTGCCATACATGACGGTATAAGCCATATAGATCAATGCCATTGCACCAAAAAAATAAAAAAGGTATATAGCATAATGTTTTGTGTTCATGTTGCCTATGGCAGCACTAAACAGAACGTTCCGTAAGCATATGAACAATCATATATAGATATGTACATGTAACTTATGTCCCTCTAGCAAGCCCGGTACATATCCCCCTATTCCCCCTATCCCCGCAGCTCCTCATGCTGTCCGTACCCATCAGAACGCCGACGCCACCGCCCACATCGCTGGCACCCACGGGACCGCCGGCTGCCGCCGCCGCGGTGTGGGTGGTGTGGGTGGTGGTGGTGGCCACCCCGGCGGCTGCGGCTGCTGGCGTCATGGTACCGGGGCCAGTGTTGGCTCCCTGGGCTCCTGGGTGGTCGCTGACTGGGTCGGCCTTGAAGACCTCCCCCAGGGCCTCCCACACCCGCTGTGTGAGGTGCAGCTGGCAGTTGAGAGCCTGATAGACCTGCAACCCCCTCGGATCAGAAGCGACAAAAGGGCAACCCACACGCACAGACAGACAGACAGACAGACGTGGCGGCGGGGTGTGCACGTGGCGGAACGTGAAGCGGATGGGGGTGAACCGGATAGGGGGTTGGGGTGGACGGATGGTGGGCCCCCCGAAATTCACACCGACCCCGTCTTAACATCCTTCTTGCACATGTCTGTCTGTCGGTCTGGCACCCACAGCCCCCTGCCCCCTGGCACCCACCCGTCTGCGGTCATGCGCCGCAGCCGCCCAGAACCTCTGCACCCCGCCCGGCAGTGTGGCCAGGTACGGCCCCAGTGCCCGGTAGCTGGTCTGCATCTGGGCCAGTCGGGACATCAGAGAGGAGGGCCGCCGGTCGTAGCCAAGAGTGCGGAGTCCGGCAGAAACAGCGTCCCAAAGCGTTTTCCGCTTGTCGCCGTACTTCTCCACCAGGCTGCTGTACAGCAGTACGAGGTGAAGCTCCTCATCGGCCGTCCATGTAGTGGCGCGATGTCGCTTGGTGCGCGGCTGTGGGGGTTTGTGTGTGTGTGTGTGTGTGTGTAAGGGAGGGGGAGGGGGGGTGAAGGCGGCAAATAGCGAGGTGGTGTGTGAGTGGCAGAGAGGTAAGGAAGCGGGGAGGGAAAAACGGAGGGGTCCTCAAGAAGTGTGGGAAGGGAAAACTGGCACGTGTAAGACGCAGCACGTTAAGGAAGGGTGCGTGGTAAGGTTTGGCACCCGTACCGCAGACCCTGTGTACCCCTAGGTGGGAGAGAACCTCCCGGGGGCATAATGCGATTGCGAGTCCGCGGTGAGTATGCAATACATGTATACCTGTATGTATGTATACCTGATTGTACATATTTGTAGCAAAATCATCACTGGACAGAACCGTTGCTCTGAAGGAGAACCCGCACCTGTCTTGAATGAGCTCACCGCGCTACAGGGCCCCCCTGCCATGCCACGTACCTGTACCTCAGCTCCAGATGTCACCACGGCGTCTATCCAACCGCCGTCAGATTGGACGCCGCCGCCGCCGCCGGCTCCGCTCGCACGTGCGCCGGCGCCCGCTACAGCTGCCGCCGCTGCTGCTGCTGCTGCTGCTGCCGCGGCTGCCATCGCCGCGCTGACGCTGCTCACGCTGCGTGCAGTGCCCGGCTGCCTAGGCTCGTGCGCCAGGCCGCCGCCACCGCCACCGCCACCGCCACCGCCGCTGACCCCCCCGTCGATCGCCGCCGCCGCCGCGACAGCGGCTTGCAGCGGCCCCGTGGGCTCCTGTACTGCGGGCAGCTGCATGTGCAGTGACGGCAGTGAAGGCACTTGGAGATGGCCCGACACCAATTGTTGGTGCTGCTGGCCATGTTGCTGTGAAGGCTGAGTTGCTGTTGCCTGCTGGACCTGCTGTTGCTGCTGGGCCTGAGATTGCTGCTGCTGCTGCTGCACCACCACCGGCGGTTGCTGCTGCTGATGTTGTGAAGAGGACGACGCCTGCGGTGCCGGATGCAAGTCGTGTGTGACCGTTTGGACAGGAGGCAGGGAGCTTGAGGCCTGGGGGGCTTGCAAGTGTCCCAGGGGCGGCGCCTGCTGCTGGTGCGGGTGCTGGTGCTGAGACTGTTGTTGTTGCTGCTGCTGTGGTTGCGGCTGCTGTGGTTGCTGTTGCTGTTGTGCGGTTGGCTGCTGTTGCTGCTGCTGGCCTGCTCCCTGCTGGTGCTGCGTGCCGTGCGGAAGAGGCCCGGCTGAAGGCTGGGCGCCTGTGGAGTGCACCGGCATCTGCGGTGTGTCTCCGCCGCCACTTATTTGGCCCTGCGGTATTGCCAGGTTGTGGTGGTGATGGTGGTGGTGTGCCTGGGCATGTTGATGGTTGTTCTGCTGCTGCTGTTGCTCTTGCTGCTGCTGCTGCTGTTGTTGATGCTGTTGATGTTGTTGTTGTTGATGCTGCTGTTGCTGGTGATGGTGGTGGTGATGAGACACGGCCATGTCGTGCAGAGCGTGGGGGTTGGCAGAGCCCAGGTAATGGTCGGCGGGGGTACCTCCGTTGGCCGCAGCGGCAGCCGCCGCTGGATGTCCGGGGGGGAGGGTGACCCGCTGGTGGTGGTGGGCATGGGGGTGCTGGTGCGGGTGCTGGTGCGGGTGGGGCGAGGGAGTCGCCATGAGTTGCTGGGTTGAGGACGTGTCCGGTACTCCCCCCCCCGTTGCGGGAAGGTACGCGGTGCTGCCAGCCGGGGTGCTTGCAGGGGCCCCGATGGGCGCTACGGCCCTGGAGGGTGAGGAGTCCAGAGGAAGAGGGAGCGAGCTGAAGTGGTGCGGATGATGGGGATGAATGTGCTGCGGGTGGTGGGTGTAAGTAACCTGTGTTGTGAGAGGCTGCGCGGGATGGTGTATGTGGCCGTTGGTGAGGGGTTCGGGGCCGGCGGGAAGGCTGTGGCGAAGCTGGTGTGGCTGCGGCTGGTGATGGTGATGATGCGAGTGCAGCTGGTGTTGAGGCATGACTGAATTGTGCTGGTGGACTGGGAGCCCAACAGGGACTTGCAGTGGCTGGTACTGTCCCTGGTGCGGGTGTAAGTGGTGGTGCCCGGCATGATGCTGCAAATGCAGCTGGTCCTCGGGGTGGTGGTGGTGATGGTATTGTTGTTGTGACTGATGATAGGCATTCCAATCATCTTGCTTAGCTTCCTGAAGATCATGGTGATGAGGGTGCTGTCCCTGGTGGTGTTGCGCCAAATGGTTGTAGTGCGCATGCTGAGAACTGCCGCTCGCCAGGTCGCCATCTACGCCTGTTGCAGCCCATGGATGTCCCGCGTGAGACGTGATTGTTATCTCCGGTTGGCAGCCACAAGGTGTGCTGGACGGTCAGTCTACAAAGTCAAAACAGGCCGTCGCAATGCACCTAAAAGAATAACGTATCAAGTCAAAAGCTCAACAGTAAAGGGGGCAATTGGAAGCTGAATTGTGAACCTTTCGTTATAGCTAGACCGCTGTTGCCACGAACGTCTACGAAAACTTCAAGACAGTCGAGGACCCTTAGGTATTTGTCGCAAAAGCATTATCATACTGTGTTCTTTGACTTTAGGGGCTTTTGATGATTTCATTTCTTTATAGTACAACCATTCGTTTGGAAGCTGCTGATCGCGGTGTATTGGCTGAGACGTCTGTAATAGTTGAGACGATGCATGGCAACATAATTTACCGCAGGTTCCAAAAGCAGCAAACGGGAAAGCGCCTGTTTGGGGCCCGGACCGCAGGCGTTGGTAGGCAGGCGAAGGCCCTCGCCATCTTGTCCAGGCCTAAGGTGTAGCTTTCTGATAAGGAAGAGTGTTCTTACGATTACCATTTCAGCAGTGAACCTAGGTACGAATCACGTACCCAGCGCCAACCCGGCCCCCAGGGCCTCCAAAGCACCAACGCTATTGCACACGCTCACATGCGCACATCCCACACAATCTAGTTGAGACTAGATTTACATCGGCCATCATCTCCGTGTATAAATTGCGGCATGCACTTGCATCCCTGTATCCCTCATCCAGCATGCGCAACTGCACAGCAGCTATACAGCTTAACGCCGATAACCGCAAAGAAATGGACGGCTGCTGCATGCCTTACAAGCATGGATGCCCAAGAAACTTTGTTCCGTTGTAAAAAGGTAGGAGCAGAACCCTCAACATGTAACTCACGTAAGCGCAAGGCGATGTGACCCTCGGGTCAGTTTGTGTAGCCTTACACAAACCTCTGGTGGTGGACGAAGGATAACTGGATAGGGCATTAGGCTTACCGGCTACTTGACCAGTAGAGTACATGACCAGCAGCGGCAGGTGCACTGCTGAGGAGGAACACTACTCCATTGCGCAACCATACGCAACCATACGCTGGCACACGCCCTGTGCTGGCTGCCCATCCGATCAGATCATTAGTGGCTGGTGCACGCCTGCAGTTGTGGGATGAAGACCCGTGACGTTGCAGCCGGTGCCGCTGTGCCTGCCGCTGCCACTTGTCACACTTGTCACCGGGACTCCGCATTGGAGTTCTCACTCTGTGTCAGTACAAGTGCCGCCAAACCCTGCCCTGGTCTACAGCCTACATAAGGATAACTGCATAATCCTGTGAGCTGCTGGGAGTTAAGAGCGCTGAAAATCCTATATATACAGAGGCCCATTTGATTTGGGTCCGGGTTGTACGCGAACCTTATCGAGGTCTCGTCCAAGCTATTAAGGCATTGGCCCCCTTTTTGGACCTTACCTAGCACGCCACCACACGCCACCAGTGCCTCATGAGGACCAATACAGAGAAGGCAATACCAATTGTAAGAAAAGCCGACGGGTTCCTATGTTACGATTCCCCAGAACAACTGAGGTTAGGCGTGCTGGTAGGACCTATTATTATTCAAGCTGCGCTCACGCGTGCGGATGGACGGCTTTGGGCGTCCAGCGTCCTCCTTCCGCGCTCCCCTTATGTGTTCGAGAGACCAAGAATCCGTGGTGCCCAGCGGTCCTACAAAGCTCCTCGGTACGTCACACCCTTACCTGGCGAAGGCGTGAACAGCGCAACCCCTCTGGAGGACTGCCTGTTGCGAAATGTATCGTACATCGACGTCGACATCACTCCTCCGTATACCACCACCATGTCCCAACAAAGCAACTCAGACGGCTGCTCCTGGGCAGCCGTGCGACACCACTGACGTGTGCCGGTACGTGTTGCTCGAGTCAGCTGCCAGAATGGCAGACGACAGTCCTCTGAGCTCGCTTTTCTATACCAAGGAGCCTCCGACCTCCGCAGTTAGGTCAGGTCGTCAGCACATGCAGTTTTACGTCAGCGTACCGTGGCCGCTTGTGTCCTGGCGGCCCACCCTTTCAAAACTTTTTAAATGTGCGAGGTTTTCCCTTCTTCCTCTGCATCGCTCTCTGCTCTCTGCTTGCCACGTGACTCAGTTATCATTCTCACATCTCACTCGCGAGCACACTGGCTAGTAAAAAGTGGCATCCTTCATGGGCGGGGCCTGCGTCATGGCCCCACCCCGCTAGCTCTCTTGCTACGGTCAGCAGTTAACATGGTGAGCACAAGCACAGGGAGGGTACAAGCTTGCCTAGTCATCCTCGCTGATCTCAATGGGCTTCTCTGCGGATCCGGGCTCAACTCGAGCCGCGGCGATAGCTGCCTTAGCCACCACCTTGCCGCTCGCAGGAGCCAGAGCCGCCGTGGCCCGAGCAGCTGCAGCCGCCAGGGCGTCCCCCTTAGAAGGTGATGACTTGTACGCAGTGGCGGCGCCAGGGGCAGCCGCTTGTGTAACCTTCGCGTCCCCGTCACCGCTGCCGCCACTGGGCCCTGCCGCAGCCTTGGGTTGGGTTCCGGCGCTTCCCCGGCGGGCGAAGGGAAGGGTGCTCTGCTTGAGCACACCTGTCTTACCGCTACCTCCTGCCGCAGCTGTCATCGGTGTAGCCGCTGCGGCCCCGGTTCCCTGTGGCCGGTCCGGTTGCTGCTGCTTCGTGGGATCCCCCACCTTTCCTTGCGGGTCCGACGGTCGCCCCTGCTGCTGGTGGCGCTGGTGGTGACCGTGGTGGTGGTGCTGTTGTTGCTGCTGGTGTGGTTGCTGGCCGGGTATGGAGCCGCCACCACCAACTCCCGCAGCTGCCGTCGCCACTTTGTGCACCCCACCGTCGCCTGGCGGCGCGGCCTTGTTGCCGCTGGTGGCATACTTCGCCGCTGCGGCGGCTGCCGTTGCCACCACCAGCTTCACCACAGTCGCTGCAGCCGCAGCCGGAACAGCAGTCACCCCTGCCGCTGCCACCGGATCGCCCTGAGGACGGATCGTTCCGCCGCCGGCCGCCGCCGTCGGGGGGCCACGGTTGAGCAACGGGCCCGACGGAGATGTACACTTACTGACCACGAGCGGCTGCCTGAGATCGCAGGGCAACGAGCACCAGGAGATGCAGCAACACCAGCAGCAGGAGGAATGGGCCGCCCAGTTTCCAGGAAAAAAGAAGGAAAATGGAAGGTGGTTCAACATGCTGCAATCAGTGAGGTGCCTTCCCACCAAATCTAATGCCAAAGGACCAGTGCGAGCAGTTTGCAGCTTGGACGTACTGTCATAAGCTCATACTGCCCTTCCCAGCCGCATATTCTATGGCGCACGCAAACAGCACCATCTACGTGCGCATTGCTTCACCGCACCCACTTCTTAGCGTTGGCAGCTAACTTGTGTTGCAGGTCCAGAGTAGTCGTGATGACCTTGTTCAGACGCCGACTCAATGTCGCCACAAGAACCCGCCACTCACACTGCGTGTGCAGCGCAAACACGTGTAGGCGTATGCGCAGCTTGTCACATTACCGATAAGTTGTGGCGTGCATACATGCACGCGGGACTGGCGCGAAATTGAGCTGGGACAACTGCACAACAAGGATCAAGACTCCATGCAACTGGTCACGTGTTCAAAAGCGCGAATGCATAAATTGAATACGGAATTCAGCAGGGCTTTCAAACGAGCAAGGGAAGCAGAAAAGGAAGAGAGGCAAGTAGAAGAGGAACAGAGCGTAAGAAGCACGAAACGCGCGGAGCATTCTCCTGCATCTTCCAGCCAGGGTTGCATTCACGGACACTACTTCCTCACCGGGTCCAGCTGCAAGGGACCTCCCGGACCAGGGGCGCGGAGTGCCGGAGGCGCTGAAGGTTCAGTAGCCTTCGCCTGGTCCGATCCTGCCCCTGCCGACCTAACATCCCCAGTGGTATCAGACGGCTTCTCAGTCTCTGCCTCTGCTGCTGCCTGGGCCCCGTCTTTTGGCGGCGGCTGGTCCGGCAGCTGCTGTTGCTCAGGCTTCTGCACGACCCGGCCAGCCAGAGGCTGAATGAGCAGAGCGTACTCGACGGTGCGAGAAGGCTTCCCGGGCACGTAGCCCACCTCCGCAGCCGCCATTAGAAGGGCCTCGTCGTCCGCTCGACTCCACCAACTGAGAAAGCCGTTGGGCGTAAACGGCGGAGGCATGTAGCAAGCACGCAGCCCGTTGACGGCATTGCCGCCGCTGCTGATGCTGCCGGCGCCGGCTTCCGCCACAGCCGGCGCCTCTGCGCTGTCCTTGTTGTGCTGAGGCTGCTGCTTGGGGCGCATTAGCCGCATTAGCTGGTTCATGTTCTTGCCATGGCGCAGGTTCTCAGCGGCTTCCTTCAGCAGGCGCTTAACAGGTGCAGCGCCGGACAAAGCACCATGGAGAAACCCAGGCACCTGCAGCCGGTGCGGAGGCGCAGGAGAAGAAGAGGCGGAAAGAGAACGCAGCAGGAAGGGTGTTGTCGTGAACAGCGGCCGAGGACAGGCGGAAGCGGTATGGTGTAGGGAGTGCATTCAGTCGCACCCGCGGTGTGAAGGTAGTACGAGGTGCCCCACGCAATAAAGCGGTCAATAAAGCGGTCGCGGTCATGGTCTACCGGGTTTTGCTTGGCCTGAGATTGCATCGATGGACGCCCACCCATGTAAACTACATCGGGAGTGGCAGCAGCGGCAACAGGGGTTAGGCAAGTAAGGGCCGTGCCCAACTCTCCAATCAGCACCTGTCTCAGTCCGCCAGGTCCATCCATGCAGCATCTACAACCCACGCCGTCAGCCTCGCCTTCACCCCCCTTGCTTCTTGCTTACCTCCTCGGAGATTGCCTTAGCGAGCTCCTCTTCATATCTGTCTGGACCCGCTGGTGTTGCGGCTGCAGTCGGCGGTGGCCGCTGTGCCGCCGCAGGAGTGGTCGAAGCGACCGCGGCAGCGGCGGTATCAGCTGCGGGCCCAGGAGCTTTAGGGGCTCCCGAGGTGAAGTCGTCAATCTCATCGAGGTCAGGAAGGAGGGGGATGCTCGCTTCGAATACTGCGCGAGCCTCCAACTCCGCCTTCTTCTTCGCCACCTTCTGCTCCGCGCCAAGAACCTCCGCGATCTGGTACAGGCGCCACATCGCGCGGCCCCCCGCCTCCACGTCCGCCGCGGAGTGCTTGAAGGGCTGCAACTGCTGATACACCTCTTCCCACCTGCCCCGAACGAAGGTGCAAATAACATGCGCGGACGGTTATTGGGTACTATTGCTATGGGTGCAGGAAAGAATGCCGAATGAAACCGTGCACTCGTAAACACAGAAGCACAAGGCACAACAGGCAGGTTAAGGGACTCCAAAAACAGTGACAGGATGTACTTGAAGCGGGCAGACAGGTCAGACAGGAGGGAGTGGGATGAAAAAGCCGTCCAGGCTTTCCGCGCGAATAAAGGGACATCGGGAGGGCGCTGGGTCTCCTCGGGAGGGCGCACCTGTCCGGTCCGAGAGCCACCAGACGCTCCTCCAGGGCCTTGAGCTCCGACTTGGTCCAGCCGCCCCTGGGGGCTTTGCGCGCACGGCCCTGAAATGCACCGAGATGGACACCACCAACATGTCTCGCCGTCAGCACAGCTGTGGCATCTTGCTGCCGGTCATGGCACCTGGCAAGGAAAGGCATGGAGTGTGTGCTTGAGGGTGTTTCGGACAGATACCTTTAAAGGGTTTTATTTACATTTCCTAATACTTCCTTGATATTCTACTAACATGGGACGCTGGGAAAGGAGGTTCATGCTAACCAGAGGGGAAGAGTAAAACCGGTTGGCACCGAACACAACAAGGCGACCACATCAGCATATGCGGAAATGCTGATCAGCACGCAATGCGTGATGATCACCCAAAGGGGACTAATGTCTAGCCAGGCGTGCGCGCACATCAAGCCTAGCCAAAGCCGGGCAGGCACGGCAAGCGGTTATCCCACTCGTCCCTGCCGCCCCCAGGGACCGCCCATCTACAGATCTGACCTTGCCGCCTGTAGTCTGTCCAGCCTCCTGTCCAGCCTCCTGTCCAGCTGCCGCCGCCTCTGCCAGCCCGACGCGCTGCTGCTTGCGCGTCCGGCCGCTGGACTTCCTCCTGGACTGCTCACCGTCCTCGCCGCCTCCACCCCCGCCGCTGCCCCCCTCACGTCCCTCGCCGGTGGCTACTTGCTGGCCCTCGTCGCCGCTGTCGTCTGCGTCGTCGTCGCTGCTGTCGTCCGAGTCCAGTTTGGGGTTGTACTTCTTGTCATTCATGTTGTAATTGATTTGCTTGCGCTTGCGGGGCCCCAAAATCACGGGGCCCTCTGCGACCTGCGCCCAGCCAAGGCACGAACAGAGCATGTTATGCGGTGGAGTGCGTAAACAGAGCCGTCATGGAAGGTTAACGTGTCCTTGGATGCTATGTTGTCCCGCTTGGAATGGCATTTACGTTGTGTCGCCACCAACTTCTGCCATCAGAAGCCTTAATGTGGCTTCAAGCGTCTTCGTCCTTCAGCTTGCGGCACGCGCTAGCTATAGCCCTAAGCGCAGCAGCACACAGCCGCCAACGCCATCCTCAACGTACCCGCGTTTCGTGTGCCGCCACCGCGTCTGGCATCAGAGTGCGCCAGTAGTCCTTATCCGCCAAGTCATCATCCTCTCCCTCACCCTCGCCGCCACTGCCACCGCGACGCCTGGCTTTAGCGCGGCCGCGCCGGGCAAGCCCACCCAGGCCGCCACCGGTCTCCCCGCCGGCGGCCCCGCCGTCGTCCGCTGCGAAGGTAGCAACGGAGAAGGTGTTGCCAGCTCGCGACCCGATTTGGCGCTTCTCAGTGCGGGCCGCCAGAATCTGAGCAGCAGCCGAAGGACATGGAGAGTTTGGTGCACGTCATGATCCATTTTCCGTACGCTGCAAACGCGTGGCGCAAAGGGTGGTTCTCCAGCTTCGTTCGCTTCTCGAGCAGACGTCGCTCACGCCCACACCAGCAACCTATCCGTCCCTCCATAATTAAGATTCCAAAGTCCACGGGGCTCTTTCACGGGGTTTCACATCCTTATCGCCCTCACCGGCACGGCGCTTCCAAAGCCGGATAGGCCATGGCAACACCAGGTCCACAGCCCTATGCGAATCATCCTGTGAATCCTGGTTACGTACACCCTCCCCCAACAAGTCAACACCTTACCTTCTTGCAGTTTTGCAGCTTTGCGGAAGCGGAGATTACGTAGAAGACAAGCAGACAGCAGTCCAAAAGGACATGCAGGCTAATCAGCAGACAGACAGACAGACAGACAGACAGGCATATATATACACGCGTGTACCTATTACCTGGTTAATGTCTTCGCTCGCAAACGCCTCCCCCTGCCGAAGGCCGGCCTCCATATCTGCCAGCAGCCCGTGCGCACCGTGACGGAGCAGCTCCGCTATGCGAGCCGAGTCGGACTCGGGATCTGAGCCGCCGGAGAAGCCCAAGATGGCCTCATCCAAGCCTGCCAGGGCGAATGTGACGTGTTTGAAGAGGTGTCGTTAAGAGCTGCCACCAATGAGAGAGGCAACGATGAGGATCAGAGAGAAGGACGGGAACAGCCAATGGCACGGGGGACACAAGGGCAATCGAGGCCCGCGGCGGGGCGCAGTTGCCGACAGCGAGGCGAAGAGAATACATGTCGCATATGTTGACCCAGTTCAAACTCCAATCGGTGACCAGATGTCAAGCGGGGTTTCATCCGATGCGTGGCAGCAGTCACTCACCATACTTCCTACTGGCGGAATTAAAGAGCGCCATCTCGTAGGTGTCTCGGCTGATGAGGCGGTACACCGTCACCTCCTTTTTCTGGCCGATACGGTGGCAGCGGGCCATGGCCTGCAAGTCGTTCTGTGGAAGGTGTGGAGGGGGGAAAAGTAGCGTCGCGCGGCGGTGAGGAGGGAAGACCGGAAGGGAAGACCGGAAGGGAACACGCGAGGACACGAGTGGCGACGCACTGCGCAGGCGGGCGGGCAGACGACAAGCCACACGCCTTGATCCTCGCTCCCTAGGGCCTCCGCTTAAAAGGCCCTTTCCTTCTTATCAAGCTCCGTTCCGAAACCCCTTCCTATTCGCCTCTCTTATGGAGGTACGAGGTGCCCGTCTGCAGGTGGCCCCGCCTGTGAACAGCGTATCTGCCCATCCTAGCCATGGCTCCTCCTCCCACAACACCCACCCACACACCCCTGTGCATGTCCGCGCCCCAGCCTGGCAAATACCTGCGGGTTCCAGTCGCTGTCATATATGATACACGTGTCCGCAGCGGTGAGCGTAATGCCCTGCCCTCCGGCCCGAGTGGACAGCAGGAACACGAAGGCGCCATCGCTGCCCTCGCCCTCTGAGGACACGACAGAGGAGAGAGCCAAGAGCCGAGCCCGAGGGCCCGACAGGGAGATTCTTGTTGTATTATATAACTCCAAGCAACAACCGCCCGCGTCCAAAGCACGAGGCAGGAGGGTTAAGACGATCGAACCACAGACGATTGAAGGAGATACATTCCAGAGATAGGAGAGGACCACTGTATAAACTGCATGGATTATTAGAAGTACTGAACACTTGTGAGAATTGGGGAATTTTATAATGACCAGTCGTGAGTGATGAATTGTTAAAATTCATCACTCACGACTGGTCATCATAAATTAAAAATTACTGACCAATAGTCCCAGGGGGGTTACAACATTTGAAGTCTTGTTGCATGGGAGCATGCGCCTGTTTGAGGACGTGGGGAAACCCTCCCGGCCTTCAACTCCGAACCGAACTAAAAACCCAATCACTCCACTCCATTCCACTCCACTCTCCACCTTAGCCACCTAACATCCCTTAGCCCGGCCGTCGCTCCTAGCGCCCCTGTCCTCACCCGCGCAGAAGCGGTCGATGGCCCGCTGGCGGTCACGGCCCTGGATGCTTCCGTCAATTCTCTCCACAGGGAAGCCCACTGCATTGCAGTAGTCCTCCAACACGTTGAGCATGATGACGAACTGGGAGAAGATAAGCACTCGGCGACCCTGCGGGTTCAGGTGTAGATGTATGGGGGGTTATGGGCGGAGTGACGATCAGGCGGGGCTCCAAGGGGGTGGGAGAAAAAATCATATGCAAGGAAACAAGGAATGAACTGCCGGCGGGGGGGCCCCCGGGCGGAAATACATGGGGCAGGAAATGTGGAGTAGGTGGGTGGGGAAAAGACGAACCACGAACAGGTAAAGCCACGAACGAGGTGGGTGGGGGATTGGGGATGGGTAGGGGATTGCCGACGTCGCAGCAGAGGATAGACAGCTTTCGTCAATGGTCGATTGGATACCGGCAAGAGCAACAGAGGAATATTGCTAGTGGAGCGGTACCCATGACCTGGTCCCCACCCTCCCGGCGAATCGCGGTGGACATGATCGATCGTCCCGAGGGCCCCTCTCCACTCCCCGGGCACCTCCCGAGCCACCTCCCCTGTGCATGCGTGCATGCATGCGTGATTGCATTATGCGCACCTCCGCCCTCAGTTTGTGTAGCAGCTTATGCAGCAGTACCATCTTGCCGCTGCCCCGCACTAGCAGCTCCACCTCCGGGGACTTGAACTCCTCCGGGGCCCCCTGAGATCGCTGCTGCGCGAGCTTAAACTTCAGGTCCTCCTCCAGGCCCTCGCACAGCACCTGCCGGGGGAGGTACGGGCTGGCGGGTGTCACAGGTGGAATTTTCCGGCCCCGTCCACCGTCAGAAGCATGCGGGCCTCGCACACCGGTTAGATGTGCACCGCGTGTGACAGAGCGTGTGCAATTCCCCGTTGGGTTCATCATCACAGTACAGCAGCCACCATCCCTAAAGCCATGCCTACAGCTGCATCACTCTTTACTGGGCTCCCATCACGACCCCTAACCCCCTTCTCCGCACCAGTCCATGACCCCGCGGAACCAGAGCTGTGACGAGAATCCCCCAGGCCCCCGCGTCAGCAGCAGCGGCAACGCTGACCGGCAAGCACTGCCACGCACGCTCAGCAGCACCCTAAGCCTACCGGGTGGCAGCACAGCTTCCGCAGCTCCATAGCCAGGTTGCGCATGGAGGGCAGGTTCTTGGCGGAG